GAATATACGTGTTAACAGTAAAATAATCAGAATTAACATATGTGTATGCACGTGTGTGCACTTGTGTGTCCACTAGTGGGCATACAGGTACGTGTTTTGGGGAAACAGTGATTACTCTGAGAGGCAAAGAAATTAGAAATTCCACAGAACTTGTACTGTAAAATTAAATTGTGTGCTAGTCAGTCCAACCAGCTAGCTCTCAATATAATGTGGCTATAGGGAATTTATATTGACTGTGGTAATGCACTTCTCCCCAGCATGTACAGGTGTCAATGGCTTATGTGAGCCACCAGTTCAGGTGATCAGCTCCCAATCTCTCCTGTCAAAGCTGTCCTACTTCATATATAAGACGTGAATAGTCACTGATCCAGAGAGAGAGAGAGAATGACTCTATAGTTTGGTACTTAAGGCACCCACTTGGGAGCAGGAGGGACACCTGGGTTCCAGGCCCTGCTCCAATAAATATTTAATTATTTATGCAAAGTGGAACAGCTTCAACAGGAGAGACTGAGACATGCCCACCCATCCCAGAATACTCTATAGCCTGATGGTTAGGGCACTCGCCTAGGTTCATGCATTCATAGATTTTAATGCCAGAAGGGAACATTATAATAACCTGGTCTGACTTCCTGCATAACAGGCCACAACGTTTCACCCCATAACTCTTGTGTCAGGAACAATAACTTGTGAGTGAATTAGAGGATTTTGTTAGCAAGAGAGCTGTTCCCAGCTCAGCTACAGACTTCCTGTGTGATCTTAGGCAAGTCACTTAATCGTGTGCCTCAGTTCCCCCTCTTAAAAATGGGGATATCTCTTCCCCACTTCATAGCGCTGTTGTGAAGATAAAGTTTATCGGTGATTGTTAGGTGCTTTGATACTAAGGTGATGCGGGCATTATGAGCAAGCACATAGCTATATAAAGATAATTGGCTAAATGGAATGCAGATCTCAATGGTTTGGAAACTACAGTGCAAGAAAACTAAGAAGCAGAGGTGAACACTCCCGAAATGTGGGACTGCTTGGAATATTGTGCCGCATCTACACAGTTGTCTTCTAACTCTGAAGTCAGTAGAACCACAATCTTGGATTGGAACACCCCCACTATGCAGAGTTTAAAATCTGGATCTGAATTTTGCAGTCCATCTCTACTTTTAAAATAAAAGGAAGAAAAATTAGTACTAGATTTCAAGATGTAAATACTCTTCAGATTATACAATACTCTCACTTTTAATCCCATTTTTCTACATATTTTTCAGATCCATTAGTATTTTGCCTCAAAAAATAGAAAGTTTAGTGTTGTCGCTGAATATAAGAAAAGAGTTTGTTTTAAACGGTCTGTCGCTGAATATAAGAAAAGAGTTTGTTTTAAACAGTCTCACAAATATATAGTTATTAAACTATATATGGTAACTTGGTAAGTGTTATAGTTATGGATACGCTGAGGATTTCAATGTAGCATTCAGGCATTGTTCCAGCACAGCTGAAAGAAATGCTTTGCATTTGTACGTTTTCAAAATGTAGGATAATCTTTCTTAGCAATTGCACCATCTAGTGCTGGTACACTGATAATGCCACAGTAGTTGGCACATACCATGCTCCTGGTACACTAGAAGCAAATTGATATATGCATTACCTCAGTCTAGAATTAGGCATAAGCTGCATGGTTCAAATGTAGGTTTCAAACCCCAATCCAGAAAGTTCCATTCTTAGAGTCCTATATCTAGCAGCAATAGGCAAGTAGTATACTGGAGTTTTAGTAAAATGAAATGAGATAAAACCAAACTAACGTGTTTAAATAGCCTTGTGTAGTTTACCTTGGAAATACAAGGCTTAATTTATTGTATTCATTGGCTCACTGATATCAGTGTATTACAATCCTCTCCATGTGGACAACTCTGGGCACAGGTAGCCTTTTTTTTTTTTTTCTTTTTTAATTCCTCCTGTCTGTCTTTCCAGCTACTTTGCCTTCAAGGAAAAGTACTTTGCTTCATATCAAGAACTGTACAAATCTTTCTAAAATACTGCAAGCTTTTTCCACGGTATTGGCGGTGTCAGGAAGCGGAAGCTGTGCAGTGCATTGTTTAACCTTCTCACCTGGTGACCTCCCCACTGCCAGCTCTTGCTAATTCTTTTGTTGATGGTGTGTAATTTGTCTGTTTGTCTTAGATCTTATTTTATTTCTGGAAGGTTTGTCAGTTTGGGATGCCATATAGGCTCTTTCAGACTGTGTTTCAATTCCCAAGCCACATCTGTGGGGTGTCCTTGTTCAATAAAAGGTGTTTAGGAGAGATGACAAGATGACAGCTTTTGGTCTTGAGGCTCAATCCAGTGAGGGGATACTTATGCAATCAGTTCAGGGTGCCTGCTCCCTTTCACCAGACAACTGACAGCTCCAATAATAGGGCTGTCAGCAGAGCTTTGCTCCCTAATTAGCTTTCCCTGTTCCTCCTTGGCTTGGTGCAATAGGCAAACAGAAATCATCTCCTACCAATTTGCTTCTTGTGTACCTTGCATACAAGCTAGCTTGTAAAACTTTTTTAATTCCCTCGCTAAGGCTTACTTCTATTATGAGGCCAACCAGTGACAACTCCTTGAGTATACTATGCATGCATTTTAAAAAAGAGAGGAAAAACTGCACTGCTTTGAGTCTGGAGCTTCAGGGCATGAAGCAGGGGCACCTGAATTGTACTGTCTGTATTGGGTTGGTAAACAGAGATGTGAGGAGTAGCTGCTGTTCATATCTGATCTGTATTGCACGTAGGCAGAGGTTTAGGAATCTGAGTATGAGTCCAAATCAAAAATAGACTCATATGATAGTACACAAGTAACACAATATTTTGGACCAGTATGGTGGAAACTTGTCAATATCTGTGAGATCCACCATCGTGGACTGAAATCTCATGGGTAAAGATGTTCTCATGTGTTTCAGACACATCCAAATGCAGAAATGAAAGAAAATAATCTTCCTGGTGTTGGATCCAAACAAGAACTAAAACCAATAGTGGGGACACGTTCAGGAGTTTGAATCTGACCCTACCTCAGAAGCCCAAAGGAGTGCTGATTCAGAGTTTTGGCTAGAGCTGGTCAAAATTTTGTGACTGAAAATTTTTCCTGTTGGAACATGTGGTTTTGTTGACATCAACATTTTTCACTTGGAAAATGTTGATTCTGATCGTTTTGATTTTCCAAACAGGTAAACTGAAATTAAAACGTGTTTGGAATCAATGTTGTGAAATGAGTATTTTAGTCTCCAAAATTCAGTATGAAACAAAAAATCATTTTGAGATGTTGAATAATTTCATTTTGACATTTCCAGTTCAAACATTTTTGGAATTTTTCATTTTGTGAAAAATTTCAGTATTTCAACTTCTGGTTCTAATTCTGAATGGAAATCAGATTCCCAAGTCTTTCATAAGCCTAATAGTGGTTGAGGAGAATTTCAGATCCTACTACAACCCTCTTTATCTGAAACATTGATGCCATTTAAAACATTTTGATAAATGAGGGTTCAAAAGGAGGTCTGGTGGGATGAATACAGAGCTGATGTCAAAACTGATGTAAGTTAGACTTGCTTATAATCAGCTAGACTCCCTTTGATCTACTTACACCCAGTTACTGATGCATAAATGAGTCTAAGGGTATGTTTGCAGTCAGATTTTGTATCTGACTTCAGCATGTGTAGACCTATACCCAAGCTAGCTCTAGTAAAAATGGCAGTTAAGCTGTGGCAGCCTGGGACTGTGGCTATGTACTGGATCAGCCAACCCATGCAGCCACTGCTTCACTGAATTGGTACTCGCGCTAGCTACATCAACGCTAGCTTGGGAATGTCCACACGTACTGCAGTCACACCTCCGACTGCAGTGTAGACATATCCTTCATTGATACAACTTTATACACCAGAGAGCCATAAAAAGGTATGAGAATGTGTAAGATCTATTAGGGAATGTCCTACTGTAGAATGCCTTCCTGTTGATTTTCTTGTTACTTTTCTGTCTCTTGGTGTGTGTTGTACACCAGCCTAGACCTGCTTAAACTCCAGTAGTCACAGTGGGCTAACTTCTGAGGTGATGCATAAGGGGGTTGTAACTAAGTAAGTGTGCATTTAAGTCTAATGACTCTAAGTTTGTATAAGAGGGATTTTAGAGTGTGTGTGTTACACTAACTCTTAGACTCACTTCTGAATTGAGCCCTGGGAAGCTATTCTTGACAATGTGCTGAGTCACTCTGTGATCTTGAGTCACTTTCTCTCTCTGCCTCAGTTTATCTGTCAGAAAATGGAGATAATACCAGTTCACAGGGGTGAGAAGGGCTTAAATCATTAGTGTATGCAAAATACGTCAAGATCCTCCGTTGAAAGGTGCTATTAAAATGCACAGTACTAATTATTCAGGGGGACTACCAGGAAAGCACTGCACACCTGGGGATTTAACTACAATTGAGATAAGAGGGAGCTTTCATTAAACGTGTGGAATAAATTGGTTTGTGCAGAACATGTTGATATAAAATTGCTACCATGCAGGCCCAGATATTGTGGAACTCAGCTATGTTAGAGGCAGGTGTCAAGAATCTGAGCCAAATTGTTGATTGTCATGAGAATATAATTCCTTGTATTGAAATATTTTGCCTAATTTCTGGTCAAGTACAAATTAAATCTGTCAGTTGGGTAGGTGATATTTTGCATTCCTCATGTGGGATGTTTGTAACCTATATGAAAGGCATGATCTTCCCAGCACCCATGTTGTGAATATTGCAATGTTTGTGGGATAAATAATTGTTTAATAATAATAAATCATCAGAATTATGAGAACCTTTGTTACAGGTATTTTTACAAATCCTCTGCAGTACAAAGAAGCTAAAACCAGATACTGGAGCTATATGTAAGGCTAACAAACTGATGATTCAGTATTGAAAAAGTTAAACAGTAGACTAGAGACCATCAGCTGTGTATAGCATTTCCCAGATCCCCAGCAGTAATCGTTTGCATTCCATCCCCACAGCAGTACGGATGTGCACACGGTGGCATCGCTTCTCAAACTGTATCTAAGAGAACTCCCAGAACCGGTTATCCCCTATGCAAAATATGAGGATTTTCTTTCCTGCGCCAAATTGCTCAGCAAGGAAGAGGAAACGGTGAGTGTTGTGCTTTGATTGTGATTTATATAGATAGTGGTGTTTTGTAATCTACTTTGGTTTTGGCACAGGGGCAGGTTCTCTAGTTTTTGCATCAGCTTTCACTCTTTGCTAGCTGCACATCTTTGAACCGTATCAGGATATCTTTCTAATGATGTAGAGGTGTAGGACTGGAAGGGACCCTGAGAGGTCATCTAGTCCAGTCCGCTGCACTAAAGGAAGGACTACATAATAACTAGACAATTCCTAACAGTTGTTTATCTAACCTGTTATTAAAACCCTCCAATGACAGAGATTCCACAACCTCCCCAGGCAATTTGTTCCAGTGTTTAACTACCCTGACAATTAGGAATTTTTTTCTGATGTCCAACCTAAACCGCCCTAGCTACAATTTAAGCCCGTTGTTTCTTGGCCTATCCCCGGAGGTTAACAAGAACCGTTTTCACCATCCTCCTTGTAACAACTTTTTATGTACTTGAAAACTGTCTTCTCTCCCCCGCCCCCCCCCACACACACATCTTCTCTTCTCCAGAGTAAACAAACCCATTTTTTTTCAATCTTTCCTTATTGGTCATGTTTTCTAGACCTCTAATCATTTTTGTTGCTCTCCTCTGGACTTTCTCCAATTTTTCCACATCTTTTCTGAAATGCGGTGCCCAGACCTAGACACCATACTCCAGTTGAGGCCTAATCAGCACAGAGTAGAGTGGAAGAATTACTTCTCTTGTCTTGCTTACAACACTCCTGCTAGTACATCCCAGAATGATGTTTGCTTTTTTTGCAACAGTATGAGCATTGTTGACTCATATTTAGTTTGTAATCCACTATAACTCCCCAAATCCATTTCTGCAGTACTCGTTCCTGGGCAGTAATTTCCCATTTTGTATGTGTGCAATTGATTGTTCCTTCCTAAGTGGAGTTCTTTGCATTTGTCCTTATTGAATTTTCAACCTGTTTTCTTCAGACCACTTCTCCAGTTTGTCCAGATCATTTTGAATTTTAATTCTATCCTTCAAAGCACTTTCAACCCCTTTCAGCTTGGTATTGTCCACAAACTTTATAAGTGTACTCTCTATGCTGTTATCTAAATCATTGATGAAGATCTTGAACGGAACCGAACCCAGGACCAATCCCTGTGGGACTCCACTCGATATGCCTTTCCAGTTAGACTATGAACCACTGATAACTACTCTCTGTGAACGGTTTTCTTTGTAGGTTATCTTTAAATGAAATCTTGGTTCACATAGCAATCTAAATAGGCATATGGGAATAACAGAAACACTTCTCTACCTATATAAACTGCATACCATTGAATTATGGTTGGAAGTGATGTGCATTGGGTTAGAAGAGTTCCATCTTGTATGAAAGAGACTTCTTTCGGGTCATCTAGGCTATCATCCTCCATTATAGCAGGACTGCTCTTATTAGTCCTACCCAATTCCTGTTTAAGTCAACAGCAAACTATTGACTTAAGTGGGAATTAACTGGGGATAAAATTGTCATAAGTCAGAGTCAATGGGATTTAGGCTCTGAAAATTTTGCCCTGGGCCCATTGTCATTAAAGCATCACTCAGAGATATTTGGCAAGTTGGTCTTGATTAAATCTGACATCAGTTACTGTAGCATTTATCTTGGAAACATGCCCCATTGTCTAATGCTTCTTAAAGATATAGAGACAGATTTCCAACTCTGTTCTACTGGTGTGAAACTTGTGTAACAGAATTAAGGATATGACCTATTATATTTTCCCTACAGTAATTTAAGGCCAATACATCTTGCTCCGTTGAAACCTCCTTTTTACACCCCTCTATGTACTTGTTGGCAGCTAGTATATGATGCTATCTCTTAGTCTTTTTCTTCAGAGTGATCACTAATAGTTTTGTTCTATTAATTTCAGCCTATCCCTCTAATTTTCCAAAACCATACTACATTTTTAATCCCTCCTACAAAGTGGTTGACATCCTCCCTGTTCTGAGTCACCAGCCAGAATTGATTCTTTCCATCTCCTATCCACTAAATTAATAAGGATCAGATGGGGGGTTGGGAGTTAGATGTGTGGGGGAGCGTTTTGTATTCGGTCTAGAAGGGTATGGGGGGAGCTGTGTGTTCTGCTGGTTGCTCAGTGTTATTTTTTGTGTAATTTATGGCAGGGGCTCCTAGAGGTTCGGATAAGCACTGCTGTTAACTTTTGTATAGTGTGCATTTTATAGTAGCTATGTTTGTATAGTTTCTCTGAGAACATCACATGAAACATTTTATTAAATGTTAGGTTTCAGAGTAGCAGCCGTGTTAGTCTGTATCCGCAAAAAGAACAGGAGTACTTGTGGCACCTTAGAGACTAACAAATTAATATAATTTATTAGAGCATAATATGCTCTAATAAATTTGTTAGTCTCTAAGGTGCCACAAGTACTCCTGTTCATTTTATTAAATGTATTTGAAAACAAGACTTCATTGACTGTGTGAACCTAGAGCCAGTTCTTGCCATGTGATACCTATATGGAGTTACTTACCAGTCACTTACCCCAGGTCAGTTGCGCTTTAGGTCTCACACCAAAGACTATACTTATAACCAATCCTATAGTAAACTATATGATGATTTATTAAATAGGAAAAGGAAAATACAGAGTTATTTGCAAGATTAAAGCAAGCAATGTGAGTGACCAATGCTGGAAACAATAAGCCATTTTTTATCCTGTTGTAATGCTGACTTAGCAATCTGATGGTTAGATCGTTTGACTAGTTTTTCAGTCTTCTACGTTGGACTCTCCTACAGCGCGAGTTACAAACGATGTCACTCTTCATCTAGATAGCTGTTTGTCTCATTTCCTTTTCTAGCATTTGCCCGGCAAACATTTGCAGTATCATGATCTTTCCATCCTGAGTTGCACTTGTTTTGCTGACCCACTGAAATCAAACACCCTACAGTGGCTGGCAAAGCACCAAAGGCTGAATTAAAACAGCATCCAAATGCACTGGCGGCAGGAGCTTAGCCAGAGGCTATTTCCAGTGGGCACAGAAACCACGTTCACGTTGTTCAGCTCTTCTAAATCCTAGTGAGAGGACAGACTGAAAGAATCTTCTGCTTGTCTAATGCTAGTGCAGACCTTGTGAGACAGCCAAAATGTTGCTTTGGCCAAATGAAATGGATACTACAGACTAGTGATCATAGTTTATCTGGATATTATTAAGAAAATAGTTGTCTTACTCCATTTCCATAAGTATCTTCTATTTATTTCATAACAAAATCTCAACAGTGTTATTATTGATTTGTTTGTTTACCCAGGGGGTGAAGGAATTAGTGAAACAAGTAAAGAGTCTGCCACCTGTCAACTACAATCTACTGAAATATATCTGTAGGTAAGTGCTCCTGAAAGATTATCAAAGAGGTATTTATTTCAGTGCCCTAGTAGACATTGCTGTCTGTCTGGATGAATATATCTCAGGAGAAGTTTAACAAAGAGAGTCAGAGTACTGGTACGTTTAACCTAACACAATCACAAGTTTGTTTATTGTATTACTAATTACTAATTATAGTTGTACAGCTGTGAGTGGGATTAATGAACAGCCCAGACCCAGCATGAAAGGCAAGGAAATGTAGCTGGATAAAGGAATATCACCTTCTATCTACTTCTGTAAGGAAAAGCAAGGCTATATTTGCAGATCACTTACCTGGAGACCAGCTCCCGTTGGCCTTGATGATTCACACAGCTTATGGGAGTCCTGGGTTAAAAAGGTCAAAACACCAGAAGCGTAAGGGCTTCTGGGAGAGGTGGTGTTTGTGCATGGGGATGTCAGATAAAACACAGCCTTATAACAGGTAATGTTTTGATGTAATTTGCTGCATGCTAATATCTGTGAAGCTCCCAATGGTGATGCAAGATCGTGAGTACTAATCTCAGGACAGACTGTTAAACACGAGGGCACAAACCCCAAATTGGTAAATTCCTAACTTAGATTTCACTAACCAAGTGCAAACTCCTCAGGCACTTCAACAGCCTTAACACGGAGTCACAGACAGTCCTTTCGGGTATTCAGGTTTCTCTTGCCACCCCGGTGAACATCTCTCTTGCATAGATGGCCCATAACACCAAGAATCACAGCAATATTCAGGTTACTCCTAATTCCAAAAGACCAGTCACTTACCCCAGGTCAGTTGCGCTTTAGGTCTCACACCAAAGACTATACTTATAACCAATCCTATAGTAAACTATATGACAATTTATTAAATAGGAAAAGGAAAATACAGAGTTATTTGCAAGGTTAAAGCAAGTAAATATAGACATATGAATGAGTTACTGTCTTAGTTCAAAAGGTAATATAGGCTTCTATAATCAGCAAGCTCTAATTTGTCTTTTAGGGCTAACCTAGGCTAAACCGCTGGGGATCTCTTGCTTATGCATAGAAACAACTTGGTTCCCCTCCCCCAGAGTCCAAGCAGCATAGAGATCCTTAGTTTCTTTGCTTTGGGGTCTTTATCCTCCTTCTGCCGTGTGCTCTGAGCTGCAAACTCAGCTGGTGGGAAGAGTCCCCGTGCATGACACACATCTTCACAGGGAGGAGAGCAGAGCAATAAGAGTCTTTAGTCCTTTTGTTGATGGTTTCTCAATCCAGATGTGGGAGTTTCCAGTTGTAAGATCCAACCCTTACCCATCTGGTAATGATGTGTCTCCTCTTTTGAGAGATGCATAACAATTTCTGTAGAAGAGCAGCTCTTCATACTAATTAATGTCCCTCTCCTGTATGGCGATTTATACAGTCACAGAGGCTCATAATACACCCACTCAAATATTACGTTACAATATGGAACACCGATATTACAAGTAAGGTTAATGCATGCAGTAACTCACAAGCATTCAATTGAGTCTTAACATTTCTAATATCTATTTTATCAATATTAACCCACACGTGAGACAGAAAAATGCCGGCTATGTATCGTTTAGTGTCCAGTTCAGATGGGGGACCTTTGTGTGAGCTGGCACCTGAGCTGCCAGCATCACAGTATCTATGGATTTTGGTAAGACGCTGAACGTTATATCAAGAATGTATTTATCAGTTAAGATTTAAAGCTCTTCATATAACATTCTCAGAAAATATCGGGATTGCCTGGGGAGGATAAGAGGGAAATAATTTCCCATTTTCAGTTCACTTGGGGTAGCAGCCAGTATGCTGTGGAGAATGGGAGGCCTAACTACTAGAGCAGATTTTCTGAATTTTCCCCCCACAATCGTTCTAGAAATGACAACCCCCAAAATAGCCTGGGTTTGGAGCTGAGAAGTAACAGGACAGTGCTGCCCTGGTTAAAGGGCCTGTCTGCCTTGTTACAGTAAGATATGCAAAAGCTTCCTTCCCTGGAAAACTTACAAGATACACTGGATAGGAGCTCAACTGGGCTAGCTCTAAGGAGCATTATGCTCTAGAAAACTTGGGTACGTTAGAAAATAAACCCAGGGATCTCTTTTAATCAACTGGCAGAGGGTACAGGAATACGTAAGGGCTGGGGGGATCCCCTGGGTCTGGTAACTGTGTACTAGTCTGCCAAAGAATGACATGTATGGACTCTAATGAAAGCCTGTGTCACACTGGCATAATCATTGTGAGATGTGAGTGTGTGCATAACATGTTAGAAGAGGTGTGTGTGATAGATAGGAAAACGTTCTTGTAGTTAAAGGCAGGTCACGCATTGGTAACATGCCTTGAGACAGTTCTCTAGACAGGAGGTGAGAGACACTGCTCTCCCAAGCTAATCTTTGTATAGTGTATGTCTTACAACAGCAGGCTGTTAGCATATTAAGTCATATGTTAATGAAGAGCTTGCAGGGACTTCAAAAAAAAATTAACAGGAAGAGGTAAACAGCTGGAGATGAAGGGAGAGACACACTCCTTTCAGTCAAGATCAAGTCTGGTCTGGTATATCTTAGGTGAAAAAAGACCCCCTGGCATCCTTCACCGAGGAAGTAAACTGACAGAGAGTTTGCTTCATGAAAATTGATTGGCCTCTTACAGTTTGTATGGCTACTTCCACCTTTTCATGTTCTCTGTATGTATAAATATCTTCTTTCTGTGTGTTCCATTCTATGCATCCAATGAAGTGGGCCGTAGCCCACGAAAGCTTATGCTCAAATAAATTTGTTAGTCTCTAAGGTGCCACAAGTACTCCTGTTCTTTTTTCATGAAAAAAGGATCCCAGGCAGACTTGGCTTAAAATGCTGGGAAGATCTTTGGGTGAGATAAAACTTTATTTAGACAGGAGGAAATCTTGTTCGTTAAGTTAAGGCCATAGAAAGCATGTTATGATTTTCTTTTATATATAATGCGTTTTTCCAGCATTTTGCTTACTATCATAGGAATCTGTTCTTTGTTAAATAAACTTATACTTGCTTTCTCTGTAAACATACCTGAGTGCTGTGTGTTAAGTGGAGCTGTGTTTTAAGGCGAACTAGTAAGCCGGCATGTACTGTTCCTTTGGAAACAGTGGGCCTGGTGATTCAGTGAGTATCCAGTGGAGCAGGGGCTAGGTGCTGCCGGTGAATGCTTGGAGGACTCAGGGGTTAGTGTATGCCTATCGCTAACCTGTAAAGAGAGAGTGGTGTCTGGAGGGGAGTGCTTGTGTTGCCAGTATCCAGGGGTGTAAAGGAGCTGGTCCCAGGCAGGCAGAAACAAGGCTCTCTCATGGACGTTAAGCTTAGAAGGGACCATTGTGATCATCTAGTCTGACCTCCTCCACATTGCAGTCCACAGAACCTCACCCACTCCTGAAATAGACTCCTAACCTGTGGCTGAGTTACTGAAGTCCTCAAATCATGGTTTAAAGACTTCAAGTTACACAGAATTCACAGTTATAACCTGCAAGTGACCTGTGCCCCATGCTGCAGGGGAAGGCAAAAACCACCCAGGGTCTCAGTCAATCTGTCCTGCGGGGAAAATTCCTTCCCGACCCCAAATATGGTCATCAGCTAGACCCTGAGCATGTGGGCAAGATCCACCAGGCAGATACTTGGGAAAGAATTCTCTGTAGTAACTCAGAGCCTTCCCCTCTGACGTGCCTCAGAACCCAACTACTGCCCTGTTTTTCCAAGCCTACAATAGTGCTTCAGAGTGGTGACCTTTAAAAAAAACAACTAGGAAATTCCATACAAAAAGTACAGTAAGAGATCATCATCCACCTTTGCCTTTTGTGATCTTGATGCTCACTTTCCCCCCTTCCCCCCTCTATTTCACAGATTCCTGGATGAAGTCCAGTCCTATGCGGGTGTAAACAAAATGAGTGTGCAAAACCTGGCTACTGTATTTGGTCCCAACATCCTGCGCCCAAAAGTGGAAGATCCTCTCACCATCATGGAGGGTGAGTTAAAGGAAAATTGTAAACAACTTGAAAACAGGAAGAAGGAACTTCTTTTGATTCATCAGCAGTACGTTTTGGGTGGTCTGATGTCACAAAATTACTTTTGCCTGTTTGTGTGTAGACACAACTTTTCTTCCGCTACAGTAACTTAAAGTAACTGCTATGCCCAACAGGCTGCTGCAGAGGAAATTGAAATTTCCTTTGTGGTGCATTCACTGCCTCAGACACTGTAGCACAGATGGCTTCCTTAAAGGGTAGCTCTGTTCTGAAAACTGACTGTAAAAATGGCAACTTCTTACTCAACAGGTCTATCTGAGGCCACATAGAGCACAGCCAGGAATAAAACCCAGGTCTCGTGCGTCTCAGTCCAGCACTCTATCTACTAGGCCACACTGTTCCACTTATTTGCACCTTGGGCAATCCTTTGTCAGCAAGAACATTTCGAAGGGCCTGCTGTAATACTACAATGCCACTTTTACTGTCACTTTTCAGAGTAGAATTTAAGCAGTAAATATTATATTATGGAAGTGCCCAAAGACCCAATCTTGATTACCTTTCTTGATGAATCAAAAATCCAATGCCAGAGCATTTGATTGACAAATTTTACCAGTAAAGAGGTGAAATAACTCAAAATTTACATATTTTCAGCTAATTTTTCCATATGTTTAAGCATCTACCATTTTTGAAAATCTCCCTCTTATCACCCACAATCTGTTTTGCACTTTAGAGAAGAAGGAGCTAGCTTTGTGCAAACCAGCTTGTTTTCATGTTGCAAATATTCACATTTGAACCCCAGTGTTTTTGCAAGAATTAAGTCGGGGTCAAACTTTCACAACATCTGTTGGGACATTAAGGCCTGTCCTGTGGATCTTTAGTACATGTTACTCCCAGAGAAGACAATTCTAGCTATGTGTTTGGAAGGATGCCAGATACAGCTGATAGCATTTTACTATGAACATGGCAAAAAAGTCAGCATGAGCAAAGTCTTGAATCTCCTCAAAGGACTTTTGCCTTTTTTTATGGTGGAACTGTTTATTTTTTCCAACTGGAAATGACACATTTGTTTCTCAGAAACAAGCAGGAAAATACAAAGGCCTGTAGAAAACGCCTCTCCAAAAGGCAAGAATGGAATTTTTCTTTGGGGTTTTGTTTTGTTTTATGTTTTTCTGCTGTCTCTGAGAATTTCCCCCCACAGACTTATAGTTTAGTATGATGTCACCTTCTGCAGCCCTTTATCCTCTAATACAATGGCAAAATTGTTCACAGCAATCCTCATCTAATGCTACCAATCCACAAGGAAAAGAGAGGTCATGGTGTTAAGAACCCAGTGCTGGGGCTAAAGAGATATCTCAACACCCTTTTAAAAAAAAAATACCCTCCTTTAAAGACTCACCTTCATTTCAATTGCTGTCTATTTTTTTCAGTTTCTACTTTCACTTTGTATCTAATCTTTTGACTACTCAAAAATTACTATAAATGAATTATACTTGTATGGAGATATAATATATGCATGAATAAAGAAAGAGGTTTGTGAAAGGAAGTTGACTTTTCCCCACCATTTCTTATGGTAGAATCAAAGCTGTTACAAAGCAATGCAGATTTTCAGGGTTCCAAAGCAAACGAACAAAAAATGTTTACAAGTCCCCGTGGCAAACTGAATTTTTAGTAGATGTATTTGAAGGGAAAAAAAGCTCAAATATTCAAATGCAACCTGTATAAAATTATATGGGCCAGTGGGAAATTATTGATTAAAAGAGCACAGCATGCCACTGAAACATGCCTAGGGACTTTAAAATGGTGTTTATAACCAACCTGACCTCATTACTGGAAGACTCTTAATACTCCCTAATAGGGTTCTGTAAAATATATATATAATGCAGTGATACATCATTATTTACCCAAGTCTAATTCCAAATGATAGTTCTGTAAATTAAAGTGAAGTCGTGTGGTGTGTGCAGTATGGGTTTCTAGAGAAGGAACATTTATAATAATGTGTTGCGAAGTAGGGTGCTGTGTGATTTAAGGCTGTGATTTATATGTTACTGGCAACAGATTCCACATACTGTGACAGCATGGCACATTTTACTGGCCAGTCACAATCTCATCTCTGAGTGGTTAAAGGTTTTTATATTAAATATCTCACAAAGTTCTGATAGGCTAAAAAATAAATGGGCCAGAAACCCTTTCCTTCTTCAACCCCTTGTATTAGACTGGCTAGTGTCTTCCCAGACTTGGAGTAAGTTTTTAAAGATGTTTGATATATTGAGCTTAAACTCACATATTACAATTACATCATTCATCTTCTTATTATTCTTAATCTCTCTGCATGGTCCCAGTGGTTTTCAATTGCGGATATTGTCTTGGGATATTTGTTTTAGTTCCCCATGATAATATCTCCTTTAAAACATTCTTGGCTACTGCATGCCCTAAAATTGAAGTAAGAGATGTAGGGAGCTCTTTTCCTCCCCCGCACTGGCTACCTACATCGGCAGGCTCTTCGCAGCAGGAGAGCATCTGCTAACAGGAATGAGCAAAGTCTTGACTCTGCCCCCAAGATGTTGGCCAATACACCAGAGCCAGCGCAGAGTGGCTAGGAAGGTGCACCAGCAGAGAGACAGGCATATTTTTGTTTCTTCCTTGAAAAGGGGACAGTACAGAACCGATTGTGCTGTGGTGATATGGAGCCAGAAAGGGGAGATAGGATGAGGTGGCATGAAGGTTGTAATAGCAAATATTAAATGCTTAGGTAAACTACATATATATTAGATAAATGCATAAATTAAGTGTATATTAACTAGATGCATCTTTATGAAATCTTTAAAAATCTGTTTTAAAAGAATGTTTGTTCACTTCTCAAATGAAACTACTTCATTAATGGTGGTTCATTTGCCATCCTCCAGGTACTGCAGTAGTCCAGCAGCTGATGTCAGTGATGATAAGTGAACATGAACAGCTATTTCCCAAGGACACAGACTTTCAGGCAGGGGAGGAGGTGTGCAATAACAACAATGAGATCCAGAAGAAAATGATCATTGGTCAGCTCCAGAATAAAGAGACCAATAACAACAAGGAGACAGCGGTGAGAAGCTGTTCTTGGGACACACCTGAGCCTCTCCAGAGGGCAAGCATGGACAATGGGTCTCCCACAGTGCTGCCAGGGAGCAAGTCAAACAGTCCAAGGAACAGCATTCACAAACCTGATGTCACAAGAAGCCCACCTCTCATGGTGAAAAAAAACCCAGCCTTTAATAAAGGCAGTGGCATAGTCACCAATGGGTCCTTCAGCAGCTCTGTGGAGGGCCATGAGAAAACCCAGACCTTACCAAATGGTACCCTGCAGGCCAGGAGAACATCATCCCTGAAAGGTCCAGTTACTAAAATGGGCACACACAGCATGCAGAATGGAGGCGTGCGAATGGGCATTTCAAGCACGGATGCACACAGCAACTCCCTGAACAGCCGAAACCTGAGCTGGATGCCCAATGGGTACGTCACGTTGAGGGACAGTAAACAAAAGGAATTGGTGAGTGATTCGGGCCAGCATAACAGACTCTCTACCTATGACAATGTCCACCAGCAGTTCTCCATGGTGAATTCGGATGATAAACAGAGCGTAGATAGTGCCACCTGGTCCACATCCTCTTGTGAAATATCCCTACCCGAACATTCCAACTCCTGTCGATCGTCTACAACCACCTGCCCCGAGCAAGACTTTTATGGGGGTAATTTTGAAGACTCAGTGCTAGATGGGCCACCACATGAAGACCTCTCCAACCAAGGAGACTATGAGAGTAAAACTGACCGAAGGAGCATGGGAGGACGCAGCAGCCGGGCCACCAGCAGCAGCGATAACAGTGAAACGTTTGTCGCAAACAACACGAGCAACCACAGTGCTCTGCACAGCCTAGTGTCCAGCTTAAAGCAGGAGATGGCAAAACAGAAGGTGGAGTATGAAACAAGGATAAAGAGGTAAGATGGTGTATCTCTGCCATATGTGCTAATTATAAAAATGAGAGGCAGAGTAATTCTCTTATGCACCCATGCCCCAGTGAATCTGAACATAGGAATTGGTAGTAGAGATGGAGAAAATGCTTGGATAAAATAGGAGCCCACCTGAACCTTTTCCCCCTAATTCAAACCAAACCTGGTCTGACATTGGAAAAAAAAAATCATAACTTTTTCTTTCCATGATATTTGCATATTTGTGTGTGCCTCATGTTCCCAGCCAAGATCAGACGCAGAAGGATTGGTGTAGCATGAGAATTGCTGTTCTCAAATTGAGGGCCTAAACATAGTAAGCATGTGAAATCTCACTAAAGAGTCTGTTTCCATAAGATCCCCAGCCTAAATTTGCTGATGGAAGAGGAGTGGAGAGCTGACACAAAGGTTTGGAGAAAACTTTCAAATGTTAGGATGCCCATCCAAATCAAACTTCTAACCCATTTGAAGATTGCATGGAAGTAGCTGACGTACTGGAGCAGAACAGTGGCATGTCTAATTCAATATCCTGCATTCAGCAGTGGCTTGCACTAAATGCTTCAGAGGAAGTGAAAAATCTCTCTAATGAACAGGGCCTATTGTGCCAAACTGAACTATTGGGGAGAATTTCATTCTGATCCCAGTTTATGTCCTAAAGTTGGAGGACTTGTGGCCCTTATGTTTTAATCTGACTAGAGTAGCTGCAGATGCCATCTGTATTCAAATTAAGGGTTCAGTCTTTTTTAATCTTACTAAACTATTTAATTTAATAACATCTTGCAGCAATGCATTCCATGGGTTAATTCTATTTGCATAAAATGATTTCATTTTATTTATGTAACATATTTAAATGTGCTGCCATTGAATGACGGATGCAAACATGGCTCTTTTTAACTGGTTGTGACTTAGTAACAATAGTTGTGGCATTTCTAACACACCTATACTAACTGGAAGTGAAAAGCTGCAAACAAATCAGAAAACCATTTTTTTTTTTTCATTTTCCCATGAGTATAATAGGATTTGGGTAATTGTACAATTTTAAAAATGTGGCTGTCTTACAAGTTTACTTTGTCACCTTCCTTAGCTTTAAAAATTCCAAATGATTCATGATCCAAATGGGTACAAATATCCTGTTGGAAATGTTTAAACAAGACGTAGCACAGTTTTCCTGGACATGGGCTCAGTATAGAGTTAAGCTGAGTCTTGCTACCCTACATGTTAAGACCAGCATGGATACCAAGCAAAAGCAGCAGACCGGATGTTTGAGAGCACTGAGGAGGAACAATGATAAGCTAGCGTATTAGGAGAAAGGTTATGCATGGTAGTTTTCCAAGTTCTTGGGTGGCTTTATATTTAGAACCGCAAATCCTTCTCCTTCGTCGGTGGGTACAGAGGGCCTTGCTGCAGCGGAACCAGTAAGGTCTTACTGCATGGGCAGGACCCATTGTGCCACATGAAGTGCAGTTCCATGATCGTTTCCAAGATGGCTGTGTACAAAAGATCACTGAAGGAGGAGCAAGCATCAGGATTGGGAGTGCAAGCTATTGAAGGCCACATGAGGACAGGGCTCCATAGACTACTCCCAGTCCTGAGGCCAGAGCAGCTCTTCTCCCATTCCACAGCCTGGTAAGGTAAGGTGATTCCACTCACACACACATATGTTCCCAGCACCCAGTTCAGCTACTTGGGCTGGGTACTCAAACAGGGTTTGCCTGTTCACTTCACTGAAATTAAATCAAATGAGGCAGGAGGGAGACTTTCAATAGGACTTGTGCGCCTCACTCCCTTAGGTGAGTTGGATAATCTCCCCCATACCTGCACTACCAGAAATGAATTACACTGTTTAACAATAGACTGCCCTAAACTAATGAATTTATCCAAACTGTTCAAAAGCAGCGTACAAATGATGTTTCTTGAGTACCAACAGTAAAGTCAGGGCTTTGTGAATTCTTGTAGCATTGCACTAAGAAAATGAATAGTATCCCACATATTCAGGGTGGGTGGTAACCCTGCCAGTGAGACGTCACTGTTTTAGCTCATGTCAAAAAAGTTTGAGACACTGATTAGTCAGAGGCTGATAAGCTAGGGTGGGGATGGGGCATCGTTTATCAGTGAAGTACAGGTGCAACCCAAGGGCCCCACCCCTTCACTTCTGTAATTGGGAGAGTGCTGGAATTCCTGGTGAGGGTGGTATAGTCCATGTTTTACAGCGTGCAGATTGTATATGCTCATTTTCTTCTAGCTGCTGAAAGTTTAGAAACAGTGCAATCTCTTTCTGTTCCCTCCCCCATGCACAGTGTCACAGCTGCTATGAGGCAAAGTGTCTGTGCTATTCTAACCCCTAGGTCTCCCCAGAAGGGAAGATGTCTCCGTTACTCTACTAGTGCTCTATGTTCTCTTTGGTGCCCTCCTCCCTGTGACTAGCTCCAGTGGTGGCTACCTCTGCTGCTCATAGATTCGCCCAGCAGTGACATGAAATTGACGTAATTCTTGTCAGCTTCACCTTGTTCCTGGTGTTCCGAATATCATCCACTGTATCATATAACTCAACCAGGCAATCCACGGGTGATGCATACAATAGGGAAGAGGTAAATTAAGGATGGACATGTGTTGATCTACTTTAGTCCTGCTGCCTCTCCTTCCACATTTCAAATCATGAGTGCTACTGGTTATGTATCTGCACCTTGGTAAGATTCAAATTGACACCAAGTTACACACCAGACTGACTTTGGCATTTCATCTTCAGCACTTACATCATTGCGAAATGCAACTTAAGATCAGACTCAAATTGTTTTTGCGTAAGGCAGAATTCCCAAATGAATGGGTGGAAACAGTTAGGATTTTCCCTTCATCTGTAAATCCAGCCAAGAGGCGCATTTCCTCATTGCTGCTTTGCATGAAACTTTCCTACACAGTTCAAGAGCTGTTAAAATAGGTGAAGCTGAGTCATGTTAGGAAAAGAAATTTCCAATTGTTTTCAAATGGAGAACAATTTACCAGTCATCAATTCTCCTACTTCATCAACACAGTAAATTAAATCTTTGTTTAGAGGAAGAGAGATAGTACGGTGCATGAACTGATGAGTGATTATATCCAAACTGTATGTCTACCCTTAATAAGGGCACATAACAGCATGCAGTGGAATAAAGCATTGTCGTTATGCCCTCAGCACAGTTGTATAGGGGGTACAGCACTTAGAATAGCAGCTTCTGTTCCCATCTCTGCCACTTACAAGAGACAGAATGGTGTGTATGTCTCCTCTGTAACAAGCTGTATCTGAACTGGAACACACCATGGCTGCTGATTCCATTGGACTGCAGGCTTTTAGAAATATAAAGGTACAGTGCACAGAAAGCAAAAGGAGGAACAGTTGGTTAGCTGCGTACATCACAATTCTCTGAGCTGTGTTGATAATATTGGAACATATTCAGTGTTTGACATGCATTATTATGATGATGCATTAGATCATACCATTAGTGTGCTTGGTCCTTTACGTAAACCCTCAAATATAGTAAGTAACTTGTTTTGAAACAAAAACAAACCACATCAATTGCAGCTTCAATAAAGTAACATGTGACTGGACAACTAAGGAAGTTATCATAGACAGTAAAGGAGAAGGGATGCAGATCAGGATAAGTAAAGGACACGTCAGAGATCTTATGACTAATTTGAATGGATTCAAGTCAGCACAGCCTTCTGCTATTCACCCCAGGGTGCTTAAGGAATTAGCTGAAGAAATCTTGGAGCCACTGGCAATAATATTTACAAACTCATGGATGACAGGAGAGGTCCTGGAAGATTGATGAAGGGCTAACATAGTGCCCATCTTTAAAAAGGGGGGAAAGGAGGTGCTGGGGAACTATAGACCAGTCAGCCTGACTTCGATCCCTCGGAAGCTACTGGAGTAATATATAAAACATTTAATTTGCAAATACCTGGAGGATGAAGTCAGCATGGATTTACTAAGAACAAATCATGCCAAACCAGCTTGATTTTCTTTCTTTGACAAGGTAACTGGTTTGGTGGATAGGGGAATGCGGTGGACCTAATATACCTGGTCTTTAGCAAGGCTTTTGATGCAGTCCCTCACAACATTCTCATAAATAAACTGGAGAAATGGAGGCTTGATAGAACTACTATTAAATAGATACATAATTGCTTAAACAACTGCAAACAAAGAGTAACTATTAATGGAATGATGTCAGATTGGAAGGTGCTCTCAAGTGGGGTTCCACAGGGATCTGTTCTGGGTCTGGTGTTAATTAACATCTTTATTAATGACCTGTTTGTTGGAATAGAGAGCATACTGATCAAATTTGCAGATGACATAAAGCTAGGGGAGTTGCAAATACTTTGGAGGATAGAACTAAAATTCAAAGGGATCTTGATAAATTGGAGAACTGGGCTCTAGACAACAAAAGAAAATTTAACCAGGGCAAATGTAAGGTGCTACACTTAGGAAAGGAAAACCAAATGCACAGATACAGAATGGGGGATAACTGGCTTGGCAGCAACACTGCTGAGAAGGATCTGGGAGTGATGGTGGATCACAACCTCAACATGAGTCCACAATGAGATGCTGTTGCAAAAAAAAAAGGCAAATGCTATTTTGCGTTGCATTAACAGAGGCATAGCATGCAAGTCACAGGAGGTGATAGTACCAATCTACTCAACAGTAGCTCAGCACGGGGAATCAATATTTGCAAATAGAAAGAGAGGATCAGGGACATAGTGTTCTGACAGTACATTGGACTCTGTTGTTACACCAGTGTACAACCAGTGTGAGGCCAGAATCAACCCTTGGAGAAGGGAAAGGCCTAATTAATTAATTGCCTAGCACATGCAGAGCTGTTTCCTACCATATACATTTCCAGTGGTTTGTATCCTTCAATTAAAAATAACCTAAGAGATGAAGATTCCGTCATTCCTTGTAGGATACACTTCAACAGTAAACATCCAGTAAGAAACATGTTACTTTAACGTTGTCTCTTTAAAGAACCTTGGACTAAGCTTTGTAAATTAAAAGCTGTTGCTCTAATCTAGGCTGGGTAATACAGTGACGGCTGTCATCTGTATACTTCTATTTCTGCAGCTTGGAACAGAGAAACCTCACCCTTGAGACAGAAATGATGACCCTGCACGATGAGCTGGACCAGGAAAGGAAGAAGTTTACAATGGTAGAAATCAAAATGCGCAATGCAGAGCGGGCCAAAGAAGATGCAGAGAAGAGGAACGACATGCTGCAAAAAGAGATGGAGCAGTTTTTCTCAACATTTGGAGAACTAACAGTGGAGCCTCGCAGGCCGGAGAGAGGCAACACCATATGGATTCAGTGAGAATTCTAAGCTGAGACTGTGGGATTCTGGGAAGGGATGTTGGGGTATTATACTGTTTCAGGTGGCTGGTCACCTGACTGAGGCTAGCACTCAACAAAATGTTGTAAACCATTGAAGGAAGAAATACCTACAGACATTAACCACCCATACTGCAGTGTGTACTTATCAAGTTATCGTACTTTTTGAATGCTTCATAATGCTAGTGTCAAGTGTTACAACTGAATGTGTATATAGGTTTTAAAAAAGTCAAAGAGAGAGCGAGAGACATATCTCACAAAATATTTTAATGCAAGTCTTGTATTTAAACTGGTAAATTGAAATGTTGTTGCAATCAAGCTTTATATCAAGGCTTTTCTCCCTTGCACTTAACATAATAAGCTATTTTTGGCATTGTGTTACCATCAGCTTATTTTGTATATCAAATTTTTTTTTGTTACCCTTCTTGCGTGGGTGGGGGGGACTAAAGATAAACAAATATATATAATGTTAGTTATTAAAACAAGAGGATAATGTGTGGCTGTGCTGTTTGTGCCAATGGACTTGCCCATGACCAAAAATAAAAGTGTAAATAATTTTATAAAAATATAACATTAACATCTGACAAGTTTGGGACTTTTCTCTTTGGACTCGGAACTCTTCATAAATAATATTCTTTTAGTTTTTGGAATGTCAGACCATTTTATCCATGATTTGAAATCCTAAAGGAGATGGTCTGGTTAAGGAATCTTGACCACATGTTTTTTTCCAGAATAACCGTCTTTTCATTCTAGTTCAGTTTCCTGTAAATAACAGATAAAGCTATTTGTAGGAGTATTTAAAAAGGAGGACTGGATTTGAAATGGTTTATCATGTCTCTAGTTCTCATATTATTGGTTGACTCCAAATGCTGTTGTTTTGAGGCTCCCCATTTCCCTTGGAGATGCTATGTAGTGAAGGCCCTGAATTTGACTTAAAATTCCTTGTTAAAGGAGTTCTGGTATTTGACAGTGATGCTTTAAGCAAACAGAAAAAGAAATCACTGTTAGCAATTAAACCAAAAAGGCAAAATAATAATCGCTATTGTGTTTGCATGATTTTACAGTCGCAAAAGTAACATTGCCGCATCAACTCTGGGCTGGATCCTGTAGTCCTTTCTCAAGTGAAACTCATATTGGTCTGTGCTGGCAGTATTGATGATGATAGAGATAATGCTGATTAATTCAATTAGGCAAAGCGATTTTGGCTTAGATTCCAATAGTACAATTCAGAGGCCCTGTGCTCCTAAGTCCTGAACATTGGGTTTAAAGAGACACATGAAGTCTTCTGTAGGACCTCTGGACAGGGGGTAAATTTAACTTCCTATTCATGTTGCCCAAGTGGAAAAGGAAAACACTGATAGGTGAAACAATTATTTACTTGCTTCTAAGGTGGATATTAAAAATAACAAGTAATTTTTTAATTATAGTAGTTTGTACTCTTCATTTTAGTTGACTAGATTATTCAATTTTTGAATCTTTGTCAGAGAGAGGGTTGAAAAATACTCGGGCTACTCAAATGTTTAGGGTCACCTACACTACACTGTTCTGCTGCATATATCCGCAGAGCTCCATTGGATGCAAAATAGGGCAAATTCTGAGTCAGACTACTTGCAAAAGCATGACTTTAGAGGGACTACTAGCATGAAATGGATTTTGCCTGAGCAGAACACTTGCCACTAATTCCTCTGGAGGTAAGTTTCTAATCTGACTGTTTAGCAGAGCTCTCCTTTGGGCAGTGCTTGTTGGATTGAATGTTAATATATATATTAAGAGGTGGTGTGTTCCAGTGGATAGGCACTGAACTGAGACTCAGAAGACTCGGGTTCTATTCACTGCTCTGTCACTGACCTTTGTGCAACCGTAGGCAATCATTTTGCTGCTCTCTGCCTTGTCTATTTAGATTATAAATTCTTTCTTATAGGAACTCTCTCTTATGATGTGTATGTACAGCTCCTAGCACAAGGGGACCTCAACCTTGCCTGAGGCCTCTAGGTGCTGCTGTAATGTGGCCAATACTAATGTCACTCTTGGAAAGGCAGGGGTGGTGAGAGGCGTCCATCAAACAATTCACACTGCTTCTGATTTCAAAGAGGTCTTTTTATTTTCAGTCACACACATAGAGTATTTATTCATACACAGTAAATTTAAAATCTCAAGTGTCTTTTTTTTTTTCTTTCCTTCTAAAAAAATATAATTAGTTCAGGACCGGAGCTGCATGTATGTCATTTCCTGAAGTGATTATACTTTTCTGAAAAGTCCGGTGCTGTTTGGAGCTGGAGTTTGGGTGTGGAAAAAAAAAGACTGTCAGACTTTTACACTGCACTGCTGTAGAGGAACCGTGCACATACCTCCTTCTCACACCAGAACAAAATCAGTCACAAACAGTACAAAAAAAATGAGCTTCTATTTATTTTACATAAAGGAATTACATCTAGTCTTAGTAGTTGAACATCCTCTTCCTCCTCAATTGTTCAATCTCCGTAAGATTCTAACCCTAATCCCACCTGCTTTATTTAAACAAAACTTCTGCCGGACATAAAGCAGGAGTTTTGCCTCACTGAGGAATGCAGGGTTGGGCCTAGGTTAGTGTTGTTGTTAAAGTGAGAATATAGGCATCGGTTCCATGCAGCAGCAATGATTGTAGTTAGCGTAGGAGCTTCGCTTTCCAAACAAGTCCCTAACTCTAAACTACCTGGCATCCATGCATGAGATAAGGAAGAAAACACAATGCATTGTTTGCCAATATACATGGCTCCCGCAGTAGTAGTTTTGGGTGGGAGTGATTTTATTCTAGGGGTTGGGTGTGAAAGGAAAAAGGTTTATTTTGGGGGCACTCCATACTTTATCACCCTCCTGTTAGTTAAAATAGTCATTGTTTTAAATCCTGCAGGCCTGAAGAATGGCATTTTCTTTTCCAGCCTTGGGAACTGCCTGTCTCAGTCTTCTGAGTTTTAGCCTGTTAAGGGGAGGTAAGTCAACGCTCTGGGAGTTAGTTAAAACAGGCCTGGTGAGAGACTTAATGTAGAATTCTGCCAGCTAACCAAAAGGTGTCACTGAAATTCCATGTGAAAACAATGTTGCATTTCCTTTTGCTTAGTGAGGGACATGACAACTAGAACAAAAAAGCATCAATCAAATTATATGTTTGTAAAGGGCCCAATTCTGAAAACGAGTGCCAAACCTAAGTAACTGGGATTTGCGTCCAGGACACTGTGCTGAAGCAAGTCACAGCAGAGAAACCACTCCCGCCGGTTATGGAAGGAGGAACAGGTGCCATGGTCCGCAGCTTCCCTCCAGTGCAGGGGCTTGGCACTTATTGATTCACACTCTGTGTGAACTCATAGGCTGTTCTTGTAGGGTGACCAGATGTCCCAATTTTATAGGGACAGTCCTGATTTTTGGGTCTTTTTCTTATATAGGATCCTATTACCCCCCACCCCCGTCCTGATTTTTCACACTTGCTGTCTGGTCACCCTATGTTCTTGTGACATGCCTCCCTTTACTCCTCTTCCCTCTTTTAGAGTAGGGAGACCAACCAGTGAAGGGGCAGCACACCATGGGGGAAAGAGGATCTCCTGGCACGGGGTCTCCAAACCTGGCCCTCCAGCAGCATATTTGGTGTGGAATCCCACTTAGGATCTGGGCTGTAAGTAGCAGTTTACATTTTTTTCCCAAGCATTTTCCTGTATTAAGACCATTTCCAATCAGAATATGTTGCTTTGTCCCATTGTGCTGATTTAATTTGGTATCTACTAACACAACAATGATTATAATGAAATCATTTGCTACTGACATGACTCTCAGGTGTGTATCCATCAGTTTGCAATGCTAAACGTAGCACCAGCTACAAAATTGCTTATAATGACAGAATTGCTTATAATGACAGAGTTGTTCTGACTGACTGATCAGCATGCTAATAAGGTACCAGTTCTTTAATTTATGTAAATCACATGGCTTGGCTGAAACTATTGTTCCACACTTATTATAGCCTACTTCATTTTCTTTCAATGTTTTTTAAAAAACAGCTATTTTTTCCCTCATGAAAGTTTAAGCAATAGCAATAAAGCAACTGCACTATATCTATTATTATGAATGAGACAATTGCATTCCTGGAAAAATAGAAAGAATGCCTTGTGCATTATAATACCCATGAATTATGGTTATATAACTCCTAACCATATCCTTTCATTGTGCCTTAAAAAGTGCGCTAAAATTACATACAGTAAAATCTACACAAGACACCCTACTTAATAGGCAGCCTCCTGTGTTGAGACCACTCCCAAATACCTTGGTCCTAAGGTCATCCATCCCCACAATATCTGAGTTCCTGTAGCTTGTGTCAATACTGGTGTGTACAACACTCCCAAATCAGAATAGGCATGTATTGCACAAATTTTCACATGTATAAACACCACCACAAGGCACTACAGAATCAGGTCCCTTAGGACCAATTCTGCACTACCTTCTAACTGACTTTTGCCATCTCTTTGGACAATGGCTTAAGACAGGTCTCATTGTATTTCACATACTGTGCGTTTCTAGATACTGTAAACAATTATACAGATTGCATTTCAGGAAAGGTGTTCTGATACTGAAAGGGGAAAAGTATGTTAGATCCTCTGTTCTTAACTAGCAGATAACTGATACTTGGAGAAATGCATATGCTTGAGTTCCTCATCCAAGAGATGACTGAACTGACACTGTTTTACAGAAAAATTGGCTTGGCAAATAATCTCCATTTACTTAGAAAACAGCAGGAATTTTACAGTTCATTCTTCAATTTTTTGATAGTAAGGTGCTATGTATTACCCTAAATACTATTCCACTTGATTTTTTTTTTCTGCAAAAATAACATAACATGCTCCTTCTCTCATTCACACTGTGATGTGACTGTTCCTTGCATATTACCCTTATAGCATGTATGCCAGTAATTCAGTGGAATTATACCCTCCTTGCCTGCTCTTTGAGGAACTAATGAATTTGCATTTTATAGCAGAGCAAGAGTATAAGGTTGATACAAATACGACATTTCTTAGGGAACATCTGCTCTAAACAATGTATCATGGATTTGAGTATAATCACAATTTTTAAAAAAGCCTTCTGACAGGGCAAAATGACTTCCTTAATCAGTAAGCACCATACATCTTCGTCGTCTTTTAAAGAGAATGCATTAATCTTATTTTTATCTACTGTATATCTGATGTAATATCTCTTATTGGAGTGTTCATATAGAAGACATGAAATTAACTTTATGGAGAGACTAATTGTCATAAATTTGGCTATGCTAGGGAGCATCAGGGTTGTGTAGATGATAATACTAACCTCACTGAGCCCTTAAGATTTAAATAGAGAATGATTAATCAGAAGTGATTTGGAAATATGTAGGTTCTTTGGAACTATTCAGAAAAAGCCAGCTCGATAGGTGGGTATAACTTATCAAAGCTACATCACACACACATGCTTTATCACAATCTCTTTGGACCTGATTCTGCCACTCTTATGTGAATGATACTAAAAGGGACCATTTACAGATGAAGATATTAATTAGCATGGTGACAAAGTCAGACCCTTTCTGATGGCAGCTCCCAACACTGCCAAATTGCAGTTTGTTTCTGGATTACCTGACAG